TCCTCCTGACCTCCAGGACCATCTGGCTCCGGCTGCCCCTCGGGGCTGACCCCAGCCGCGGGTGGCTCCTCGCCCTCGCCACACTTGGCCATCTTCTGTGCCAGCATGCGCGCCGTCTCCTCCTCCAGCTGCCGGATGTCCTCCATCGTCAGGTCCGTCCACTCGTCCTGCCAGCACCAGGCTTGGCGGTGGGCGCGCAGCATCACCTTCCTCAAGCCTGGGGGGAGAGTCCAGTGAGATCCCACGGCTGCCCAAACACCCCTCCAGTAAGCCCCGGGTCCGAACTCACCCACGTCATGGATGAACTGCTCGATCTTGGACTGCATCCCCCAGTATCGGAACTCCACCTTGCAGAGCTTGTAGGCGCACATGAGGGGCCCGCTGGCTGCTGCTGCCTCCAACCAGTCATCCCCCAGCGGCCCCCGGCCCGTCTTGGATGAGTGGTAGAGTTTGGGATCCTCCTCAGGTTTGTATTCCCCGGGGGAGATGGGATCACGCACAATGTCGATGGTGTCTGTGGGGGGAACGGCGCTTGTCACCCCGCAGCACTTGGCAAGGGGGCATAGGTAGGAAAATAAGGGAAAAGGGGCAAAATTAAGGTCAAATTATTCCCATGAGCCATGCACCCAACACAGCTGGCAGCAAACACTCTCGGTCTGAGAATTCTAAAATCTTGAGTTCTGGAATTCTAAAATCTTGGAAATCTGGAATAGCTTTGGTTGGAAGGGACCTTAGGGATCATCTCATTCCACCCCCTGCCACGGGCAGGGACACCTTCCACTATCCCAGGCTGCTGCAAGCCCCATCCAACCTGGCCTTGGACACTTCCAGGGATGGAGCACCCACAGTTTTTCTGGGCACCCTGTGTCAGGGCCTCACCACTCTCACAGGCAAGAATTTCCTAATAGAACATATAAAATCCCATGGCTGGAACATCACTGACACCCTTGGTGCAGCCAAAGACATCTCTGTCCCCACGTGGGATCCCAATCCAGCACCCCAGGGAGCAGCACAGGGAGGGAGGGTCTGGGAGCTGGGGAGAGCTGGGGCTGACACACATACACACATTAGCTGGCAGATCTGGCAGCTGCAGAGTGATCCCAGCCACCCTGGGGGACATGGGGGGTGACAACAGGGACAGCACATGGGGAAAACTTGGCACAGTTCCTGGCTCCCCACCAAAAAGCCCAAGGGTCCCCCAAAACCAGGGCACAGCAAAACCACCATGTGACACAGGAGCCTCCAGAGAGCTGGGTGTGGGGAAAAGGAAATGAGCCCCATCTCTAGACAAAGGTGACCTTTCCCAAATGAGGGTGAGCTCCCCCTAAATGAGAATGACCTCCCAAGACCAGAGAAAGGCTCCTGAAGGACACCCAGGAAAACACGACCCAACAGCTGTTCGGGCTCAATCCAGCACAAAATCTGCTAGAATTTGGCATTTCCAGCCCTGTCTCCAGGTCATGGTCTGGGGGATCCCAGGGCACCCCACTTGCTCCCAGTACCATCCTGCAGCCCTGTCCCCAATTCTAGGATGTGCCAAACCCATTTATTTGCCCTCCTTGATGTCCCTAAGGTGCTGTCAGCCTCTCTTCCTCCAGCTTGGACTGAAAAATGGGGGGGAAAAGAAAACGAGAGATGCCCTGAATCCACAAAAATGACGCAATGCACAGCATGATGCCAAGCATCTTGGATAACAGCAGCAAAGAGCTGGGATAGAACCTGCTGTCCCCAAGCAGCTCCTGGCAGTGTCATTCCCATCACAATCCAACTCCCTCTGCTTTTGCCACTGGGAGAAAGCTGCCAAGGAAGCAGTTATCCCTGCGGATCACCCAGACCATGTTTTTCCACTGCCCTTTGAAACGTGAGAAGGGTTTAAATCTGTCAGTGCTACAAGACACCAGGGCAGAGAAATCCCAGTGGGATCCACACTGGGGCTGGTCCCACTTCAACCCTCCTCCCTGTGGAAGGCAGCAGCCATTGGAGATGCTGAGTGCCCTGTGGAATGCCCACTGGACGGGCACAGAGAGTGGAAAACCAGGCAGTGGGCACGGCGCCATGCCCTGATGCCGTCTGCTTGGCCCTGGTGGCTTCCTGAGGGCAGTAGGGGCAGAATTCCTGCCCCCAGGTCGCAGCCATCGGTATCCCGGCCGGACATCCCCAGTGCCGCAAGAGCCGGGGAGAGAAATAGGTCAGATGAATCATTTCCTCCGAGTGCCTATTTTGGGCCTCCATTTTAAGAGGCAACACGTCACACTCCACACTCTGGCGCCTGAACTGACCATGTCCAACACCACTGGGAATGGGAACTCTGTGCACAGGGAAGAATCCCACCCCGAGCTCCCTGTTCTGCCCACCATCCCAACACAAAGGAGGCAGACAGTGAATTGGAGCAAAGCCCTGGGGAGAGGAGAAGCAGGGCAGGGAGTAGGAAAATGGGGACATGCTTTTCCAGCTCTCCCTGCTCCAGCTGATCCAAAACACCCCACGGGACCCAGGGGTCCCATGTACACCAGGAGAGACTGAGAAGGCAAATCCATGCCAGAACAAGGCTGGGACACGGAAGGAGAGGGGAGTAGGCTGGCACTAGAAAGGAGAAGCTCCAAACAGAAATAGAGGCAAGGGAAGAGGCAGAGGACAAAACTGTCCCTGAAAATATCTTTAATGTGGAACTTAATTCAGCAGCGCTGAGAGGGAGCAGGCAGGGAGCTTGGAGCAGGGAACCTGGGGCAGGGAGCTCAGGATCCAGGGAGCTCTTCCCTTCCAGCATCCCTAAAACATGAGGGCCAGCAAGAAGAGTGAAGTTGAGTCCCTAAGGTCCCATCACAACCACACACCCATCCCAAAAGCATTATGTGGGAATCCCAGCAGCCACAGAGTCCCGCCCAGCTCCCCAAGCCAGCCATACCCACCCAAAATCCTCTGCCTCTTCTCTGCGGTGCTCAGGTTGAAGATGTTGGTCTGCTGCCCCGCATCCGGGCGGTAGTATGTCTCGATCTCAATAGAAAACTTCTCCACAAAGGGACACGTGTACCTGGAGGAGCACAGGACTGAGCCCAGGGGCACGGCCAGTCCTGCAGCCCACCCCGCCGCCTCCCTGCTCCCACCTGGTGCGAGTGTAGGGATAAGCATTCCAGGATTCCTCCTCCACCTGGAGCGCGGCTTTGGGGAGCAGAGCTCGGAACCAGCTGGGGATGTGGGAGCCCACGTGGTAGATCTTGTGGGTGTACTGGCCGCTGCCCCCAGGGCCATCGCTGTAGGGCCGGTTGGCCAGGATCTCCACGCCGCTGCCCTCGCCACTCGACTCCTCCCGGCTCTTCTTCTGCGCAGAGACGATGGCTCGGTGCGGCCCCTCCAAGCCCCGAGACCCCACCCCCACGGGCGCCCAGGGTCCGTGTACACTCCTGCCCCATGTGCTGGCATCCACCGGCCCCACACCTGCTCACAGCACCCCCTGCTTGGTTCGCTGGTCCCAAACCCGCCCGGAGCCTCAGTGAAACCCCTGCAACCTGCAAGGGTGATCCTTTGGGATCAGCCTCAGCCCCCTGCCGTGCCCCTCCAGGCTCCATGCTCAGCCCTACAGCTCCCCACACTCTGCCCCACAGCCCCCTTACACCCTCCAGCACCCCATGCTCAGCCTCACAGTCCCCTGTGCACCCCCAGGCTCAGCCCCTGCACCCTTCATGCCTCCCCACAGCCCTCTACGCCCCTCAGGCTACACTCTCCAGCCTCTCCCAGCCCTCCGCACCTTCTCAGTCACGGTGCCCAGATCCCTGCACCCTCCAGCTCCCCATGCCCAGCCCCACAGCCCTGTGCACCCCCTCGGGCTCGGCGCTTGGTCCCCACACCCCTCAGGCTCAGCCCCGCAAGCCCAGACCCGTGCAGCCCCAGGGCTCACCCCCCAGACCGTGCATCCCCAGGTCCCTCCGCTCAGCCCCGCAGCTCCCCCGAGCCCTCACACTCAGCCCCGGATTCCCACCTGGATCATGTACAGCTGGGCCACCTGGTACTCCTCCAGGCTCATGGGCAGCAGGATGTGGTACTCCTTGATCAGCATGGCGGCGGCGGGGCACAGCGGGGGCAGCTCCTGAGGGGGTTTCCGTTACACCGGACCGGGCCGGCTCCGGGACAGCTCGGGCCGGTTCGGCACCCCTTCAGAACCGCTCGGGGCGCACTCAGCTCAGCCCGGTACGGGTTCGGCCCGTCTCGGAGCCGCTCCGTCCCCGGGTTCGGCTGAGTCCGGTATCGCTCGGCTCCGGGTTCGGTTCAGTCCGGTATCGCTCGGCTGCGCTCGGTCCCGGGTTCGGCCCGGCTCGGCACCACGCTCGGCTGAATTCGGTACCGCCCGGCACCGCTCGGCCCCAGCTTCGGCCCGGCTCGGAAAAGCCCGGCCCCGGGTTCGGTGGAGTCTGGTACCGCTCGGCTCCCGGTTCGGTTCAGTCTGGTACCGCTCGGCCACCCTCGGCCCCGGGTTCGGCCCGGCTCAGTCCCGCGTTCGGCTCAGTCCGGTACCGCTCGGCCCCTCTCGGCCCCGGGTTCGGCCCGGCTCGGCCCCACAGGTCTCGGCTCCGTTGCCATGGCAACGCGGCCCCCTCCACTCCCCCCGCCCGCCCGCCCGGTCCCCGCCGCCCCCCGGCCCCACCAAACCTGCGCCGCTCCGCACCGGCCCCTCGGATCGTGACATCACAGCCCGTTCCCACGGCGACAGCCGTGACGTATGGAGGTGAGGGGGGGGGCCGTGACGTCAGAGAGCGGAAGGCAGCGAGCGCCACTCACGGGCGCTCCGCGTGTACCGGCACCGCCGCCCCCGGAAAAACCCGGTGTTTTATTTTAAAAGCCACTCTTTTAAGTGATCAACGAGTGGTCCGATCGCTCCTGCACTCTCAGCTCCGGGACACCCACCCAGCGCGGCTCCAAACCCCTCCCGGACTCCCCCACCTTTACTCCGCGTCCCACCATCGCCATCGGGACCCACCCCCGCGGGGACACACCGAGGCCAAGTCCCAACATTGTCCTTTATTTATAAAAACACGCATTTATAAAGAGCGGAGAGCGCGGGGAGGGAGGGCTCCGGCAGCACGGCGGCCCCCCCGCTCCCGCCGCCACCACCGGGAGGTCCCGGGGGCTCCCGGGTGGCAGCTGCCGTTACGTGCGGGCGTTTCGCTCTGTCTCTGCCAGGCACTCCCTGACCAGCGCCCGGGCGTGGATGATCCCTGCGGGGAGAAGCACAGGGACACCTCGTATCACCCTCCAGCGGCTCCCCGCGGGGCTGAGGAGCCTCGGGGGCGCCCGGTTCCCCACCCTGCCCCTACCCCGCTTCAGCCGCTCCATGGCGCTCTTGCTGCCGGCGTAGGTGGGCCGGATCTCCTTCCCCATCTCCTCGATGACCGAGAGCAGGTCCGTGTAGGTGCTCTGCGAGCCCTGCGCCCCGGGGGGCTTCATGGCCTGCGGGAACAGGGGGACAAGCAGGGGCGGAGGGGCTGGGGGCCGCCCCCGCCGCCGCGCCCGGCCCCGGCGGCCCCGGCGCCGCGCCTCACCTGCACGTAGCCCATGGACGGCGGCCCGAAGTCATTGAAGAGCGGCCGGAAAGGGGCGGCGGCGCCAGGGACGGAACCGGAGGGCGACGGGACACTCGTGGCTGCGAGAAACTGAGGGTCACGGCCGCACTCCCTCTTTCTCGGTACCACCCTGATCCGGTACCATCCCTTCCCGGGGTACCCCCTCCATCCCTCCGGTCCCTCTCCGCTCTCAGTGCCCCCCGTCCCCCGCGGTTACCGCGGCGTTCTCTCACCGGCGGACGGTGCCCCGGGCCCCGGCGGGGCGGGGCTGGCGCTGGCGGCTCCGGGGGTAGCGGGGGCGGGAGCGATGGGCTTGTAGGACATCCCCGACGGCCGCCCGCCGCTCCCGGATCCCTGGAGCCCCGCGGCGGGGGTCGGCGTGCGGCCCCCGCGCTCGCCCCGCCGGTTGTATCGCCGGTGCCCGCCCCTCTTCAGCTCAGCTCGGCCCCGCTCGGCCCGGCGAGAAGCCGGGAACCGGAGCGGAGCGCAGCGGCCCCGGTTCCCGGTAGTGCTGCGCGGCCCCGGCCTGACCCGGGTCTCTCCCCCCTCCGCCGCCGCCGGCGCTCGCGGTGATGACGCAGGCGCGTCACGAGCGCGACGTCATCACGCCGCCGCGCGCCCGCCGGCCGGTCACCGTGGAGACACGCGGCGTCGGCCCCGCCCCCTCGGTGCCTATCCGACCACGTGACTGCTGTGCGGGTCACGCCCCCTCGCTCGGCGGGGGCCTCTCTCGGTGTCACGTGACCGACGGGCGCCACCGCCCCAGGGGCGCGGGGGGGGCACCGGGAGCGGCACCGGGAGCGGCACCGCCGCCAAGAGCCCCTGTGTCACCCCACAGCCCCGAGCCGCCGTCCGTCAGGACGTCCCGACTCTCCGCGGGGGTGAACACCGGCCCGGACTTTGGGGAACCGGCCCCACCCGCCGGCCGTGCATTCCCCGGAGCTCTGTGCCCGCGGTCCCGGCTCCCTGGGGGGCTCCCGTGAGGCACAGTGGGAGTCTGGGGTTTTGGGGGTACCAGCGGATGGAACAACCACGAATAAACTCTTTGGAAACAACATAAAACACAAGCCAAAAGTCTGTACAGAGAGTTTTATCATTTCAAAAGGGCAAAATTGGCCCCAAAACTGCAGCCAGGGCAGGGAGGGTACCTACAGCAGCCCTGCCTGCAGCTGGCTGAGGCCCTTCCACCCAGTAATGCTTTATTTCACCCCTGGAGGGTCTCCTGGCTGGGCTGCCAGGAGTCTCCCCTGTGCTGGGGGCTGCCAGAACATCCATGAGGGTCTGTGCCAGCCCCAAAAGGGGACGGATGCCTCACCCTAGGCGGGTCTGGGGTGGGTCTGAGCTCAAACCGTGGTGATGGGGCGAGTTATGCTGTGCAGTCCGCAATAAACCTGGCGTGGGGGAGCCTGAGGGGCTCAGTGCGGCACACAGAGTGGGAATGGAGGCTGGAGGGATGAGCAGCAGGGATGGGGCACAGCTGAAGGAGAGGGGACCAGGATGGTGTGACTTTCAGGGTGAGGTCCGGGTGGGAAGGGGAATGATGCAGGGAGAGAGCAGAGATGAGGGCGAGAGTAGTCGAAGCCCGGCCAAGGCTGTGCAGAGAAGGGTCCCGAATTCGGCCCTGGTGCCTCCCGCCACGGTCAGAGCTCAGCATTGGAGCAGCCCCGGCACCCAGCCTCACCCCGGGCACGGGCACCGCCGTGCCAGCACTGCCCCAGACCCTGGAGCTGGGGGTCCCTCCATCTTCGTAAGGCACGGGGGGCTCGGGTCCCGCGTTGGCACACGCCGCCCTCAGCGCGACATCATCCGCACAAACTCTGCCGGGGGAGGAGGGGGAACACACCTGGAACATCCCAGCTGTCCCTGGGAGCGCTCCTGGCCCCTTCCCTGCTCCTACCTTCGAAGTCCACCAGGCCGTCGCCATTGAGATCCACGTCCTTGAGGATCTCATCCACCTCCCGATAGTTGAGCTGCTGCCCCAGGAGCTTGCGCATGGCCTCCCGCAGCTCCGCCATGCTGATCTGTCCGTCCCCATTGCTGTCAAACTACGGACAAGGTCCTGTTGCCACCGGCCACCCCTGGCACGCTGGCAGCCTACCTGTCTGTCCCCACTGCCCCCGTACCTCACGGAAGGCGTCACGCAGCTCCTTGATCCCAATCATATCCGCCGTCTCCGCCAGCATCTTGGGGCCCATCAGCTCCACGAAATCATCAAAATCCACCTTGCCCCCGGCTGCAACAGGAGAGGGGTGTCAGGGGGGCAGGGGGCAGGGACTGACGGGCACCCGCTGCCCCACCACGTACTGATCTGCTGGGACAGCTCGATGAGCTCCATCTCCGTGGGCATGTAGCCCATGGTCCGCATGCACTCGCCCAGGTCCTTGTAGCTGATGTAGCCGTCGTGGTCCTTGTCGAACTCCCGGAACGCCTGCTTCAGCTCTGGGGACACCACAGCGTCACCACCGGCACCGCCACCCACCCGAGCGGGACCCCCTCCCCAGCAGCTCACCTTCGATCTCCTCGGGCCGCAGCTCCCGGTCCTGGGGAAGAGAGAAGGGGAAGAGACGAAGGAGGGGTCCTGCTCCCGGGGATCCCACAGGGATTCTGCTCTGCGCCCCCCGGGAGCACACAGGGAGGGGACGGTGCCCTACCCGTTGGGTGATGGCGATGCTCTGCCGCAGGAAGATGCAGGCCGGCCCCACCAGCCCCTGCAGCACCGAGTATCCCTGCATCGGGGGGGTCTGCGCCGCGTCCAGCACGTCCTCAGGGTCCCCTGCGCCGGAGCCTGGAGCGCCCGAGCGCGGCTTCCCATCCTGCGGGTGGAGCAGGCGTCAGCGGCGAGGGGGGGCCGAGCAGGGACCCCCCCTCCTCCTCCTCCTGCTCCCCCGCGGGTGCCGCAGCCCTGCCGTGCCTTGGGGAGCCGCCGCTCAGGGGTCTTGGTGCAGTTGCCCATGGCTGGGGGCTGCCCCCGCGCCGCAGGACATGCCTGGCCCCGGGGGGGCCGGCTGGCGCAGACCGCGGGGCTGCCACCGGGGATTTGAGGTTTTTATGGAATATCTGGGGATATGCAGGGCAGGCGCGGGGGGGTGGGTGCCGCGCCCGCGTGCATAATCCTCCGGATTATTCCCCGCTCGGCCGCCCTGCTCCAGATGTGGGCAGCCGCCCAGCTGTTCCCCAGTCCCGCTGCCTCCCTGCGAAGGCACGCAGGATCCCCGGCACCCACCGTGCCCCGGGCCCGTCCCCGGTTACCTGCCCAAAAGCGGGGGGCGGCCGGGGCTCCGGCTCCTGGGCAGCCCGCTGAAGCTCCACGGGGGACGCACCACTACGGCTTAATCTGCCCCGGCTGCCCGCAGTGCCGGCGGAGCCGGGACCCCTGAGCCGAGGGGCCGGCCGGGAGCCGCGGGCCCCTCTCCGGCCGGGGCCGTGGCGCCGGGGGGTGCCCCGGCAGGCGGGGGGCGCGGGGCTGCCGGTGCCGCGCCGCTGCGGGCCGCGGAAGAGAAAGAACATCCCGCCCGCTCCTGCTCCTTCTCCCCACTACCGGGACCGAGCAGGAGGAAACCAGATCGCCCCGGACCTGCGCCCGTCCCTCGCAGGGACGAGGCCACCGCCGTCCCCGGGACCCGCCGCGGAGCACAAGAGATCGGGTGGAGCGCAGCGACCCCCCGGGGCGCTGGGGGGAGGGGAGCGGGGCGCCCCGGGGGGCTCCGGGGGGGGCGGACGGGGGGCTCCGGTTTCAGCACCGAAACCCGACCCGGGCCGGGCGCGGGGCACGTGCCGGCGCGCCAACAGCCAGGCCACGCCCCCCCGGCGCCGCGAGCCCGCCCTGTGACCGCGCCCCCCGCTCCGGCCCCGCCCCAAACCTACCCTGGGCCGGCCTCTCTCGTGACGTCACTACCGCGCCGCCGGCGCTCCCCGTGACGTCACCGGGGGGCGGCTGAAGGTGACGGCGGCGGGTCCCGGTGGCGGTGGCCCCCGCCATGGCCGGCAGGCAGCTCCTGGCGCTGCGGCGCCTGCCCGCCGCCTCCTTCTCGGTGAGCGGGGACGGGGCGGGAAGCGCCGGGACCGTGCGGTACCGCTCCCGGTGTTCCCGGGGCTGAATCCGTGTGTCCCCGCAGACGGCGCCCAAGAAGACGCAGTTCGGGTCGCTGCGGGATGAGGACCGGATCTTCACCAACCTCTACGGGCGGCACGACTGGCGGTGAGTAGCGGGAGCAGCGTGGGGAGCGCCAGTGCCAGCGTGCCCGGTGCCCCCGTGCCCGGTGCCAGCGTGCCCGGTGCCCCGTCCCGGTGTCACCGTGCCCGGTGCCCGCAGGCTGCGGGGCGCGCTGCGCCGCGGGGACTGGTACAAGACGAAGGAGATCCTGCTCAAGGGCGTGGACTGGATCCTCGGCGAGATCAAGACCTCGGGGCTGCGGGGCCGCGGCGGCGCCGGGTTCCCCACCGGGCTCAAGTGGAGCTTCATGAACAAGCCCTCGGACGGGAGGTGAGACCGGCACAGGTCCGGTAGCGCGGCCCCGGCCTGCGGGGAGGCCCCGCTGACCGTGAGCTCCCCGCAGACCCAAGTACCTGGTGGTGAACGCGGACGAGGGCGAGCCGGGCACCTGCAAGGACCGGGAGATCATGCGGCACGACCCGCACAAGCTGCTGGAGGGCTGCCTGGTGGCGGGACGGGCCATGGGCGCCCGCGCCGCCTACATCTACATCCGCGGGGAGTTCTACAACGAGGCCTCCAACCTGCAGGTACGGGGAGCGCCCCACAGCCCCCCCACAACCCGGCGGGGCTCAGGGCGCTCCGGGGCTCACCCCCTGCCCCCTGCAGGTGGCCATCCGCGAGGCCTACGAGGCCGGGCTGCTGGGCGGCGACGCCTGCGGCTCGGGATACGCCTTCGACGTGTTCGTGGTGCGCGGCGCCGGCGCCTACATCTGCGGGGAGGAGACGGCGCTCATCGAGTCCATCGAGGGCAAGCAGGGGAAGCCCCGCCTCAAGCCCCCCTTCCCCGCTGACGTGGGTACGGCCCCACAGCTCTGTCCCCAGTTCCCAGCTGCCACCCCAAAACAACTGTCCCCAGGACACTGTCCTGCTGCAGGGACAACACCACAGCCAACACCACGTCCATTAAGAGAATGGTCTGGGTTGGAAGGGAGCTGTCTTATTCCACCCCACTCCCATGGGCCACATACCACAATCCCAGGTTGCTCCAAGCCCTGTTGAACTTGGCCTTGGACACTTCAGGGATGCGGCAGCCACAGCATCTTTGGGCCACTTGTGCCAGGGCATCACCACCCTCACAGGAAGGAATTTTTTCCTGATGTTTCCCCAGGTGTGTTCGGCTGCCCCACCACGGTGGCCAACGTGGAGACGGTGTCGGTGGCTCCCACCATCTGCCGGCGCGGCGGCGCCTGGTTCGCCAGCTTCGGCCGGGAGAGGAACTCCGGCACCAAGCTCTTCAACATCTCGGGGCACGTCAACACGCCCTGCACGGTGGAGGAGGAGATGTCAGTGCCGCTGAAGGAGCTCATCGAGAAACACGCCGGTGAGCGCCGCGCTGAGCCGGGCCGCAGCGGGGCCGGAGCTGCCTGTCCTGACCCTCCTCTTTGCAGGAGGCGTCCGCGGGGGCTGGGACAACCTGCTGGCCGTCATCCCGGGCGGCTCCTCCACGCCGCTGCTGCCCAAGTCTGTGTGTGAGACCGTGCTGATGGACTTCGACTCCCTGGTGCAGGCACAGAGCGGGCTGGGCACGGCCGCCGTCATCGTCATGGATAAATCGGTGAGGGGTGGGCTCCCCCGGCTCCCCCAGCCATAGTGGGACCCTCGCCTTCCTCACCTTCCTCACCCTCCCTCTCTTCCCAGACCGACATTGTCAAAGCCATCGCGCGGCTGATCGAGTTCTACAAGCATGAGAGCTGTGGGCAGTGCACCCCGTGCCGGGAAGGTGAGTGGGGGCCGGGGCTGGAGGGCTGTGGGGTGGGGCACTGCAGGGACCCATCCCGATTCCCACAGGTGTGGACTGGATGAACAAGGTGATGGCGCGGTTCGTGCGGGGCGACGCGCAGGCTGCTGAGATCGATGCGCTCTGGGAGATCAGCAAGCAGATCGAGGGACACACCATCTGTGCCCTGGGCGATGGCGCGGCCTGGCCCGTGCAGGTGAGGGGCCCGGAGGGTTGGAGGGGCCAGCAGCCTTCCCCCACCCCGTTAACCACTGCCCCGCTCCATGCAGGGCCTCATCCGCCACTTCCGCCCCGAGCTGGAGGAGAGGATGCGGCGCTACAACGAGGGCAAAGCCCGAGCGGCGTCAGCTTAAGGATCCACCACCACGCCTCCCTCGTCCTGCTTGGAAGGGGTTTCTGGGGTGCTGGCAGCACTCAGAGGCTTCTCAATAAATGCTGCTGTGCTCCCAGGCTCTGCTGTGGACATTAAATGGTAGAAAGGGACTGACGGGGCAGAGGGCCTCAAGGTCCTGCTGCCCCTGGAGCATAAGATCACCAGGGATCATGGGGTCACACAGATGGAGCCTGAGGGGAGATCCTGGATTTCCATGAGGCTAGGGGTGGGGCAGAGGCAATGGCTGTGGGGTACTAACAGACACAGTCCCCTCCTTGGGGACCCCACACTCCCTGTCCTCGCCACAGTGGCACCAGGACTCCTCCTCCTGTGCCCGTGCCAAGGGACAGCTGTCCTGGCCACAGTCCACAACTCGGAGCCCAGGGCAGTTCCAAACATGGCTTTTACTGAATCACAGTGTGTGACATCCCTGCGGGGCTCGGAGCCGTTTCCATGTGTGCAGTGGAGAACCGAGGCACAGGGACCCTGCAGCCGCCCCTGCCCGCTCAGGCCGGGGCTTTCCGGGGGGGCACGTGGGTCTTCCTGCGGTAGCGGCCGGGCAGCAGCAGCTCCAGGGTCAGTTCGGTGATGATGGCCGTGAGCCCCCAGACCTTGTGGGGGCCGTTGAGGAACACGGGCAGGGTGTATCCGTAGCCGCTGGCCGTGCGGAAGTGGGTGTAGCCCTGGTTCTCCTCGCGGAGCAGGTGGGCCAGGGGCAGGGTGAACACCTCCTCCACCTGTCACACAGACCACAGTGACAGGAGCGGCTGCCACGGGAAGGGGAGCAGCCCTGGGGAGGAGCCACTCACCTCATCAGGGTTGGGGTTCAGTGTCAAGGCCTCCAGCGGCCCCAGGTTGGCCACGACGGGCGCCACGGTCATTCCATGCTGGAAGGTGTGTCAGCAAGGGACAGGGTGACACCCCCTCCCCAAAGTGCCCGTGCCTTGACCCCCCTGCACCCAGTGCAGGCACCCACCCTGTGTGTCACCCCCTCACCAGTGGCTTTTGGCCTTTCACCTTGAATGACCAGAATTCTTGTCACCCGTGCCCTCCTGACCTGTCCCTGTCACCCAGAATCGTCATCATTTGTAACACCTGTCACCCATGTCCCTGTCCCCCCGAATCTGCCATACATGACCCTGTTGCTTTGTCCCTGTCACCCATGACCCTGCTGCCTTTTCCCTGTCATTCCAATCCACTGCTGCCTCCAACCCCCCCTCACCTGTGTTCCTGTCCCCCTGGACCCCAGTCACCTGCACCCTGTCACCCATCTCCTTGCCTTGTCCCTGTCACCCAGAACCCTTGCTCTGTCCCCTGTGTCCCTACTGCTTTATCTCTGTCAACTGAACCCCTTCCTCCTCTGTGTCCCTGTGGCCTTATTCCTGTCACATCTTGTTCCTGTCACCACAACCCCTGTCACCTGTGCCCCTGTCACCCCAAAGCCATCACGCCAGAACCTTTGTCCCCGTCACTTCGAACCCGTCACCCGTGACCCTGCTGCCTTGCCCCTGTCACCCGTGACGCTGCCGCCTTCCCTGTCACCTTGAACCCATCCCGTGTCCCTGCCCGCCCTTGTCCCCGCGCCTCCAAGCCCCGCCGATCCCCGGTACCCGGTCGGGCAGCGTCCGAAGCTGTCCCCAGACGCTGGTGGCTGCCACCGCCACCCCCAGCTCCTCCCGCGTCTCCCGCAGAGCCGTGGCCACCGCGTCCCCGTCCGCCGGGTCCCGCCGCCCACCGGGGAAGCTGCGGGAGGGATCGGGGGCTGGGGTCAGGGCCGGCCCGGCCCCGGTGCCCGCTCCCCCCGCCGGTACCTGACGTCGCCGCTGTGGGGGCCGGCGAGGCGGCGGGAGCGCAGCGTGAAGAGCAGCGCGGGGCGGCCGCGCACCGAGCACAGCGGCACCAGCACCGCGGCCGCCGCCGCCGCGCCCCCCGCGCCCTTCGCCGCCAGCCGCGCCCGGCACCGCCGCTCGCTGCCGCCGCTCAGCACATCCCCGGCGTCCCCGGCACCGTCGGCACCGCCTGGGCCCGCCATGGCGCCGGCACGGGGCGGGAGAAGCGGCGAGGGAGGAGGGACCGGCACCGCCCCCCGCACCGAGCCCGCCCCGCCGCGGCCCGGCCGTGCCGAGCGTGGGGCAGCCCCGCCCGGGGTGCGACAGCCTCCCACGGGGCGGAACGGCCCCGGCTGGGTACGAAACCGCCTGCCAGCCGCTCCCAGGCGTGCAGCCCTTTGGTTGTGTGTGTACCAGCCGCCCCCAGGTGTGTGACCCCTTGGCTGTGTGTGCGACAGCCGCCCCCACGTGTGTGAGTGTGTGACCCACATCCCACCTTCGCGGTGTCCCTGCCAGGTGTGCCAGTCCTGCTCCAGCCCCACCAGGTGTGCAACAACTCCCGCCAGGTGTGCCACCTACCCTCCAGCTTTGTGACAACCTTCCGGCTCTGCTGGCTGTGCAAGGCCTGCTCCAGCCATGCCATATCCCTCATCACGGGCGCAGCAGCCCCTGCCAGGTGTGCAACGACCCCCTCAGAGTGTGTCCCTCTTGCTGGTGTGTGACAGCCCCTGCCAGCTGTGTGACCCCAGCTCCCAGCCCCACACACCCGCTGGGTGTGCAAACCTCTGGGCCAGTGTGCAACGCTCACCTCTGCCCCACCACAGGCCTTGCAAGAGGTCTTCCTGGGGTCCAACAGCCCCTTCCAGGCATCCAACAACCCTTTCCAGACATCCAACAGCTCCTTACAGGCATCCAACAGCCCCTACTGCTGACAGCCCCCATGTGCCACTGGCCCTCCATGTCAGCAGGTGCCTGGGCTTGTCAGGGAATTTCTGCTGTGGAAACAGCCTCAATGGTGCTTGAGGTTGGGAAAAGGCTCCTGGATAAATCAGGGAATGCTGGTGACCGGCCAGCCCCTCTTCCCAGGAAACCCCCATGGACAGAGACTCTCACACCTGCATCTTCAGCTCTCAGCAGGAAATGATTTTTAAAAAACTGTATAGAAATCATCACTCTCCATGATTCTTTGCTTCCAGAGCCCACCATTGGCTCCACAATCCCACTCCCATCTCTGGAATCAGCGGAACCTCTGCTCCTCCCACACATATCGCTTCCCTGCTGGAACCTTGCGCAAGAACAGGCTGTTCCCTCGGCTCATGTTGCCCTGGAAAGGGAAAACGACCATGGAGGGGCCACAAAAGGTCCAGGGTGGCCTCTCCAAACCCCATTAGGCTCCCACCTGCCTCCTCTCCGTGTCCCTGGTGTCTGGAGCATCCCAGCTCCAGCACTTACCTCCCTCTGCAGCTGGCTCCAGCAATCCAGCCAGGAGGAGTAGGTGGGTGCATAGGGAAGGAGACCCCCAGCCAACCTGGGGAAGGGAGGAAAGACCCACAGGGAATTATTCCCATCCAGGAATGACCCAATCCCTCTGTAGCTCCACACCAGGTTGAACCCTAAAACGACCCTCTCCCACTTTAAGCACAGAGGGATCAACCCTGTGGAGCACTGGAAGCACCTTTCCACCTGGGAATTTGTTCCAGGAGTTGATCCGAGGCAGAGGGACGTGGGGTCAGGGACTCACCCGCAGTTGTTCACAGCCATCAGGTTGGAGACCAGGACGAAGGGGTAGGTCAGCATGCTGGCAAAGAACTGCAGGAAAAATGGGGATCAGTGGGATGCTCCCTCTTCCCTCCACATTGCGAGAACCCCTCAGAGTTTCACCCCAGGGAGGGGAGCCCACTCCTGCCACCTCCACAGGGTCACACGTGTCCTCCAGGGAGCATCCCTTGGCCTGTGGGCTAATCCGGCTGATCCCACCCTTGCAGCCGCAGGATTCCAGGAACACACCCCTCCCTAGGGAAAGGATCCGCTCCCTGCCGGTGGCTGCACTCACCCCAGTGACCGCCTGGGAGTAGCTCTTCATCTCAGTCATGGCGGAGACCTGAGGAGGAGCAACAGCACCTGAGTCCCCCCAGAGCGGGGTGGTGGCTCCCAGAACACCCCCGGAGCTGCCCCCCGCCAGCTCCGGGCACTGGGGATGCCGGAGCAGAGCCTACCCCGTTCTCCAGCGCGTACGTGTTGATGAGGTAGGCCAGCATGTTGCACAGCCACAGGGAGAGGATGTCCCCGAGGAGCCGCGGGATGAGGCCGCTGCAAGGGAACAAACAGTGGGAATGACGGCCCAGGGTTGGGATGTGGCTGTGAGGAGAGCTGGGAACAGCTGGTGTGGGGCAGGGTGAGAGGGAACGGCCATCCCTGGGAGCGGGGATGCTCGGGTGAGCGATCCAGAGCTGCTGGAGGGATCCAAGGTACTCCCAGGAAGGCTTTGGGACCTTCCCACCGCTGCCACCCCCGCCGTGCCCCTCCCCGCCTTGCCGGCACTCACGCGAAGAATCCCAGGATTCCCTCTTCCCGGTAGATTGTGGCGAAGGCGCTTAGTGTCCCGCTGGGATAGGGAGGAAGAGGAGGGATAAGGTCAGGGGTGGACCCCAGGACTCCCGGCCCCCCGGATCCCAGAGCCCCCGGGCCGTACCTGTACTTGGTCTCGCGGCCGATGAACTGCACCATGCAGCGCAGGGTGATCACTGCGGGGACACGGGGGTGACACGGGGGGACACAGGGGTGACAGGACGAGGCTCCTGGCACTGCGCCCCCGGGCCCTTGGGGTGGGGGGACACCTACCGTGGAAGGGGTGGGTGATGAGGGTGGCGGCAGAGCGGGCGACCATCTCCTGGGAGGTCTGGGAACAAAGGGAGCCTCAGCAGGAGGGGACAGGGATGTGACATCCCACTGCCTCCCTCCTCCTGCTGCTCCTCACCTCCTTGAGCACCTGCTCCAGCGAGGACTCCTTCCTCCTGGCTCCAGGCTGGAGGGGAAAGGAGCAGTCAGGGGGGAACAGCTGCCCAGAGAGGGGAGGCTGTCCCCAGGGTGGGGTGGAAGCTCCGGATGCAGGGCTGGGGCTGCCCAAATCCGGGGGCCATGGGGAGGAGGGAGAGAGGGAAGAGAGAGGGGAGGAGGAGGAAAGAATGGAGGGAAACAAAGGGGAAAGAAGTAGGGAAAGCATGGAGCAGGGGAAAAGGACAGAAGAGCAGAATGAGAGAAAGAAGAGGAGAAAGGAAAGAAAAAGAGAAGGAGAAAAAGGAGAAAGGAATGCAGGAAAGAAGAAAAGAAAGGATAAGAGAAGACTAGAAGAACAGAGAAATAAAGGGAGAAAGGAGGAGACAGGAGGGGAGGGGAGGATGCGTTCCCTGTGGGAAGCATCTCTGCACCCACCTCAGTCTTCTCGGCCTCCTGGTACCGCTGCGGAGCAAAGAGCAAGGTCAGCGCAGGGTCAGCACCGTGCGGGGAGCCAGGGGGGCCCCGGTGTTCCCCCGTCCCGGCGGCAGAAGCCCCGGTTCCCGCAGCGCCCCGCCCGTGCCGGTACCTGCAGCACTTTGCTGTGCACCACGGTGCCGATGGCGCTGGAGCAGAGGCGGGGGGTGAGGCCTTTAAAGAGTCCTGCTCTCCCGTCCACCTTTATGATGTGCTTGGCTGGGGAGAGCGGGGACCGTCAGCCCCGAGGGGACCCCGCGGCGGCACCGGGACGGCGCCGGGGCGGCCCCACCAAGGCGGACTCACCGTAAGAGAAGAGGCCGGGCAGCTGATACACCTGGCGGCCAAAGATGTTCCTCCCCAGGGTGGGCGGCAGCGGCTCGTAGCCCACCTGCAGCGGGAACGGGCAGGCTGTATCCCCCGCGCGGCTGATACCGGGCCCGGTACCCCCTCTCAACCCCGCCGTTCCCGCCCTTACCTGCACCAGCACCTTCACGTACATGAGCGGCTGCGAGAGCACGGTGAGCCCCGAGCCCAGCAGCACCTGCGAAGCCGCGTTCTCCATGGTGCCGCCCCGGCGTCACGGCACAGAAGGACACGGCCACGGCTGCCGCCGCTTCCGCTTCCGCCTCCCGGTAGTTCCGGCGCCGCCGTGACGCGATTCCGGCCGCTGGGGGGCGCCCTGGGAGCAGCGGCTGCCATGGAAACGGCCGGCGGCGCCGCGGGGGTGTTGCCATGGCAACGGGGCCTGCGGGCCTGGGGCACCCACGGGGCCTGCGGGGACACCGTGGGGACAAGGGGGACAGCGGGGTCACAGGGCTGAGGAGTCACCCGGGTGGCAGAGCCACCACATCCCTAGAGCCCAGGATGACCCCATGGTGGCAGGGCTGAGGTACCTGAGCCTGACACCAGGTAATGGAGGTGACACGCTGGTGGCAAGGCCCAAGGTAGCACCACAGGCATATGCTGACACCACGGTGGTGTCATGGCGTTGGGTGCCAGCAAGACTCTGGCCGAGCTCAGGGACAAGGAGACTCCTGAGGGGACATCACAATGAAAACAGGCAGCAGCAGGCATGGACATGGAGATGGCAGCACCTTTACTGCCGAGCGCAGGCGCAGCAGCGTGAGGTCACCGCACGGACAGTGAGGGGACGGGCCCTGTCCCTGTCCCTGCGCCCGTCCCGCTGCCAGGATGGCCCCAAGATTGCTCCCATGCCTGGATCCCGGGAAGAGTCACTGGTGGCAGCATGGTGGCAGGGGCTCAGTGGTGGCTTGTGGTGTGTCACAGCGTTTGTGCCACTGTCCAGCTGATGCCTTCTCATGGTGGCACAGTGGCCCTTCCCTGCATCAGGTGCCCTGGGAATGGCCACTCCAGAGTCAGCACCAGGCACTTCTCTTGCAATGGCACGGGAGCCATTCCCTGTTCCACCTGCGCTGGAAAAGGTGACACTGGAGCTGGCTCTGGGCTTCTCTCCCACATTGTCACCTCCACTGTGGACACCAGGAAGAAGTGGATGCCTGCGGGTCCCAGCCTGGGGGGCACAGGAGAGGTGTCAGACCCACTTGAGGAGTGGGACAGCACTGGGGACAAGTGTCCCTGCAGGACTGTCCCCTGGGGGCCTGGATGGCCTATGGTGGCTCCAGGCTCACCGGGATGCTGGTGTGGCTCCGCTTTGTTCGGCACAGGACATTCCTTGCTCTCCATCTCTGCAGCTGCTTCTTCCTGCGTGGCTCCATCTGTGCCA